CACAAGTCTTAAAGTTGCCAAGGTTGGACACCCCTGATCTAGATATTTTGCAGCTAAAAACTATAATGACTGAAATCTGAGAAAGCTATCCAGATCTACATAATACCAGTCTTGGACCGGATAAAGGAAAACAATTATAATACTTAATAAGGTGAGGCAAACAGTTACTTTTTATGCCATTGTGAAGATAAAGATAAAAGAAATACATAAATAAAAGCCTTTTTTTCCCCAATTTCTTTCAGCTATTAGCACTTGACATGGCTTTTGATATGGCTTGCTTCCTATCATTAAGTTTTGTTCTCTTGTAAAGACTAGATGTCTCCACAAAAAGTTGTGTCCTACTAGAGTGACACAGAGAAGAGTTCCTCAGGGTGAGCTCTAATTGTGGTGACCCCAAAACGACAACATGGAAGAGTGATCCTTTGATTTTTCTCTTGGGATTTCGTCACCACTTCCCGTTGTAAGCCTGACTCTGGAATTTTCTGCTGGCCTGCCATCCAAACCCTTAGCAAAACTTCAAATCACCCAAGGACAGCTAGTTGTAGGAAAAGAGATCAATTTATGAGCTAAACTCTCCTTAGCACCAAAGAGCAGGAAAAGCCTCACTCAAGAGGCAAGAGAAAAGAAAATTTCATGCCTTGTTTAATTCTGCTCATAACAACATGCCCCCATTGCTGCTATAGACAACTTCATTCGGTAAACAATTTCCATATTTCTATAAAAAAAATACAAGACTTTGTATGGACATGTATAATGAATTATGGAACTCATTTAGACAGTAATAATAGGTTAAAAGGAGAGATAAATGTATTAGAAAGATATACATCCTTGAACAATATTTGCATTAGAAAAGTGCATATAGAATTGCAATTGTTTATTGTTATAAAGACATATACTATGGGTTTTTTTGTTGTATTTTTTCACTTTTTGCTAGAGCACATTTTGTGTATCATCCCCCCCGCCTTCTGTTTAATAATGGATGGATCACTATCACTATCATTTTTCTGTTCTGCTCTTTTGCTTTTTGCTATTAATTAGAAAACAACAGAAAATTCGTAAATAAATCAGTAAACTTCATAGTATTCCCCCCCCCCCAGCACAAGTCCCAATATTTCAGGAGACTAAATCTCAAACACCAGAGGATTGTGCATAATCCTCATACTCCATTCCCTACCCTCCACTCTTGAAGATGGTCTTTACCTTATTGGATTAGCTTGCAGGACTATCATAATCTCTCGCTCACCATCCTGCTTTTTGCAACATGAATATTACACGGATAGATTTGCTCCACAGGCATTGGAACTTTGCATGTTTAGAAATTCAGGGGAAAAAAATCATTGCCTTTTTTTTTTTTTAAAGGTTCAAGCTAAAAAGATGAACTCTTCTGTATTTGGCTTGGGTAGACACATTACTGAGTTATCACAGCAATGCCAAGCTGTGGCTCTCTGAATTGTTTTGCAGGAAAAAAAAAAAAAAGCAATTTCTTCCCACCAGGAAGATTAAAACCCTTCTTTAGAGCAGCTCTGTGTGAATCATTGCGAGGACTCTTCATTCAGGAGCTAAAGACGTTGAAAAGCTTCCAAAACCATCAGAAGATTGATTATATGTTTTTTTTTAAATATATTTCTAGAGGCTGGCTCTTTTTAAAAAATGAAAAAGAGGAACATTTGGGATTTACGGCTTATTAGGAGTGGGAGGGAAGTTGTCCATGGCCCTCCACCATAGATGCTCATGCTACATTCCCCCCCCCCCACCAGCAAACCAAATCATTATGCATAAAACTAAAGCTGTAATTTTGGGCTCATAGCAATAAGACAGTTCATACTGTGACAAGCAATGCATAAATGATGTTCATATGCAAAGCATCCTGCTGTTTTGAGAGAAATTTCTGTAGCTATTCCTTTCTTCTCCTCTGCTTTCTATGTCCTTCTCTCATATACTTAGACATTCTGGGGAAGAATGGACAAGGATATCTCCCTCCCTCCCTCCCTCCCCCCCTCTCTCCCCCCCCTCTCTAATTTTTAAACAATGCTGCCATCTGGTGGTTCAAATATATTACGAATGTATTCTCTTACCAGTCTCTCTACTCTTTTTGAGAATGTAAATACAGGCTGTCCTCAACTTATCATCACAATTGAGGCCAAAATTTATGTGGCTAAGAGAGAGTTAAGAGAGTTTTGCCCCATTTTACAATGTTTCTTACCACATTTGTTAAGTGAACCATTGCAGTTGTTAAATTAGTAGCACAGTTGTTAATCTGTCTTCCCCACTGACTTTCCTTGTCAGAAGGTCACCAAAGGGGATCACCTGGTCCCAGGACACTGTAACCGTCATAAGTATGAATCCAGTTGTCAAGCATCCAAATGTAAAATCACATGACCACTGGGATGCTGACATAGTCATAAGTGTGAAAAATGGTCCTAAGTTCCTTTTTTTCAGTGCTTGTTGTAATCTTAAATGACCACTAAATGAACCGTTGTAAGCCGAGGACTACCTGTATTCTAGTTTGAAGATTCACAGTGTGGTAAACCATATTCTCCGTCCCTTCTTGGTGTTTTTCCAGGAGAATTGATCAACCTGGCTATGTACTGTGAGAGAATAAGAAGAAAATTCTGGCCGGAGTGGCACCATGAGGAAGACAACACGCTGTATGAATCAGAAGAAAGCAGCGAAGCAAGCAAAAGCCACCCACTGCTGGACTTCAGTTTTTATTCAAGGACAGAAACATTTGATGACGAAGGACCTGAAAACAGTTTTTCCCGAACGCCTGATACCGATTACACAGGGCACTCCCTCTTTGATTCTGATGTGGATATGGATGACTGCACAGATCATGAACCATGCAAATGACGTGTCTAAAATACCCTGCGCCATTTTGTGTCAGAAGCGTCAGTACTTCTTGGGACTCAGGCAAACGGACTCAGGTTTCAAAGAGCCCCTTGTTGGTCGGGAAGAGACCGTTACGCGCAACGCTATCTTCATATGTTCTTTGGACCATTTCATTTTTTTTCCATCTTAGGAAAGAGCCCCCACAGATCCTAGGCCAACCGGTTTTAATAACGGTCATGATGGAATTGGAAAGATGACAAGGAAGGTAATGGGGGTGGGTGGGAATGAGGATTCACGTTAAAAAATAAATATGCAGAACTTCCCAGAATGATGTAGAGGAGATAAGGGCCAAGAAAATCTCATTTGGATGTTCTAACCTCCTCCTCAGTGGACTTTCTCTTCCCCAGGATACATTGTGGTGAAATCAGCACAATGAGGAATGGTAACGTCTTTTCACTTGGGGTGTGCCAGGTGACCCCTTGCAGAGGTAGTAAAACAGGTTCTTCAAATACGTGGTCTCAAAGAAATGTTTCTCAAAAGAAAAAAGTAATGTTTGTTTTTGCAGTGAAATCAATCATTTATTGGTCCTCTCTGAAAAAATGTATTTTTATTTTTAAATGTATTTTGATAGCCTTGCATTTTTAAAGGAGAAAATGCATCCTCCTTGGTTTGTTCCTTTGTATCAATTCTGCTGCCATAATTATTCAGACTAGAATATAATAATTAATTATACCAAAAATATTGCAAGATCAAGTTATGTGAGGGTGGAAGAATTGGTTGGGCATATTGAAGCAGACTTGATTCTCGTTGACCACCAGAACGCAGAAGCAGACAGTCTTTACCCAAGAGCAGTAACCAAATTTTACTTTCTTTCATTGAGATGAATGATTGCATTCATGTATTTCTGCCTTGGATTTATGCCCTGCTTTTCCACTTTACACAAGGAGCCTCTTACTTAGTAAGATCTTGCAACAGACTGCATCTTCCCACTGATAGCATTCCAGTCCATGAATGTCTTTTCATGCAACACCTATTGATTAGAATCATAGTAAGATTTTTGTTTGGGGCTAATCACCTGGACAATCAGGTTTGGCTAGATGCATATTGTAAACATCTGCTATATGTTGGGATGTAGTATCACAGTTGTATATGTAAAATACAGGTGGTTCTCGACTTGCTACAATTCGTTGTGACCCTTCAAAGTTATGATGACATTGAAAAAAGTGGCTTACAACCGTTTTTCGCACTTATGACTGTTGCAGCATCCCCATGGTCATGTGATCAAAATTCAGATGATTGACAACAGACTCAAGTTTATGACAGGTGCACTGTCCTGTGGTCATATGATCACCTTTCGTGACCTTCTGATGAGCAAATTCAATGGGGAAGCCAGATTCAACCAACAGCCGTGTTACTAACTTAACAGCTGCAACCGATTCATTTCACAAACGTGGCAAGAAAGGTCGTAAAATGGGCAAAATTCACTTAATAAATGTCTCACTTTGAAGCAGACATTTTGGGCTCAATTGTGATTGTAAGTCGAAGACTACCTGTACTTTGTTTTTAGTTCTTTTGTTCACCCTGTAGGCAAGTTTCTAAAGCATTTTTCAAACACACTATCAATGTTACTATATAACTATGCAGGGTTTAATTTTGGGAAGAGGAAATGCTGCTAGGAGCTATAAAGTCTGTTCCTTGGGTTGATATCTGTTAGGAGCCCTTACAGTTATTTAAGGGAAATGATATTTATTTAACTGTAGGAATACTATTTATTATGCCTCTCCTTGCAAAGAACATGCCTTTGTTTTGTGGAGATTGATTCTGGACTTTATTATATTGATAATTGATATTCCTACTCCTCTATTTTTTGAACCCAAACGGTTTTCAAGAGGCTTTAGTATCTGTTAAGCTTTACTGTAGGATTCCCTCTCTCCTCATTTTTTCTTAAAATGAGCCTTTCATCAGACATAGATGATGTCACTTTCCCCCCCCTTATATTTAATGGATTTTGTTTGCTGTGTCTCCTATATACCCGTTGCATGCAGTCCTGCGATCAGTGCTTACTTATTTTTTTTTATCAATATGTCTAACCCATCCTAATAGATTCTGGATGAGGTGCAACAAAATCAAGAGCAAAAGAGAAATACAAAAATAAAAGCTCACTTGTTAAAAAATAAATAAAAGCTGATAAAATAATATCATTCAAAATCAATAGTAACCATCATAGTTTCCCTTAGACTAATCTAATCAACTGGCTAAGTGCATGCTGCAATAAAAAAAAATATTTTAGCCTGTTTACCAAATGCCAGCAGGTATGGGGCTATTCATTCTTTGGGTTGAAGGAGGTTTGTGGCCTGAGCCCATGTACCTCTGGAGGAAGGGATCTATATCAGGTCCACTCTTAATGATTGGACTGCATAGGCAAGTTCAATTCTACTAAAGCATTTGTCTTCAAAAGTCCCAGAGCTCAAAAGCGAATAACTTTTCAGGGAACAGCTTTTTGAAGTGAGTGCTTGAAACCCTTCTGGCAACCTGTGTAGTGACTTCCCATCAGTAGTCCAGCTGCTGCATTTTATACCAGCTGTAACTAGCTGCAACTAATGTAGAAAATGTAGAGCAGGGGTGTCCAACCTTGGCAATTTTAAGATTTGTGGACTTCAACTCCCAGAGCTCCTCAGCCAGCAAAGCTGGCTGAGGAACTCTGGGAGTTGAAGTCCACAAGTCTTAAAGTTGCCAAGGTTGGACACCCCTGATGTAGAGCATGTCTCTATTGTAAGGACTGTTATATTCCTACCATCATGTGGTAATCAAGGCAAGGATTACCATTACTAGGCATCTTGGTCCAAGTAGAGTCACAGTAGGCTTGTCCAGATGGAGCTGAGCAAAAATTACTCTGACCACAGTTTTCTATTGCTAGCGTAGGTGAAACCCGCACCCAGATCTTCACAGTGTCCAGGATTCTAGAACAGAACAGAGCAGAACAGAATGAGTTGGAAGGGACCTTGGAGGTCTTCTAGTCCAGCCCCCTGCTCAAGCAGGAAAACCTATACAATTTGAGATAAGTGAGTGTCTAGACTCTTCTTAAAAACATCCAGTGATGGACCGCCCACGATTTCTACAGGCAACCTCTTCCACTGGTTAATTGTCCTCACTGTTAAGAAGTTTCTCCTTAAATTCCAGGTTGCTTCTCTCTTTGATTAGTTTCCAACCATTGTTTCTTGTCCTGCCCTCTGTGCAGTTCAAGGCCTTTAGGGCTTGGGCTAGAGTGGTAATGTATTCTGATGACACCTCACACCCCCCCAAAAATGCTGATTGACCTCCTCTTTCCACCCCATCAGGAGATGTTAAAGAAAATGGGGAAGGTCACGGAGTCCTGAAGAACTTTTGCTGAAGTTTCTGGAGCTTGAGTGCAGGCCCCGACTGCTGAAACTGCCTACTGATGTGGGAGCAGAACTGCCATAAAATAGTGCCACCAATTTCTGCAAGTGGTCCAGAAGAATAGTATGGTTGATGGTACTGAAAGCCACTGAAGAGTCTAATAGGCACAAGAGGGACACAGTTCCCCCATTTCTTTGCAAACAAAAGTAATTGACAAAGCATGCAGTGCCATTTCTCTTTCATAAAACCATCGGTTGAATTGGTTGAATCGCTGAATAATCCATATCTTCTTCATAGTATAGGATATGAATAATAGCTGAACTTAGAAATCTATACAAAATTTGTTTGCTTCTATTAGATTTCAAAAATTGGAATAATAATAATAATAATGCGTGCCTATCTCGGATCCTTGAGAAGGACTCGATGGGTGGATAAAAAGCCAAATCCAGTCTAAACGTCTGGCTGACTGTGTGACCAACCCTAATAAGAGTGGAGCATTCAAAGGAGCCTCCGTGGCTCAGTAGTTAGAGTGCAGTACTGCAAGCTACTTCTGTAGCCAGCTGCCTACAATTTGGCAGTTCAAATCCCACCAGGCTTCAGGTCGACTCAGCCTTCCATCCTTCAGAAGTGGGTAAAATGAAGACTGTTTGTTGGGGGCAATATGCTGACTCTGTAAACCATTTTGGGAGGGCTGTAAAGCACTACGAAGCAGTATATAAGTCTAAGTGCTATTGCTATACTGGAATTTTCATTGAAGTTAACAAGACCTCTTTCTCTCTCACCTTTCTTCCCTCTTGTGTTCTTTTTTTGCTGCTTTCATATATACCCAAAAGAACTGAAAGGTTGACAATTGCATTAAATCCCTTGTGCCTTGTCGATTGTCTTATTATTTGGAGATGGCTCCAACGGAAGTCCTAAGTTTTGTGAAAGAAGGAATCTTGTTTCCTTCCTCTGAAATACCATTTCATTGCAATGGCCAGGTAGCCTTTGATATGCAGATTAATATCTTTGTTTTACAAATATCTTTCTCTTCAATCAAATGACACTATTTACCGAAAGCCTTCCAATTCATGTAAGTAGATCTGAATGAATATACAGATGAATAAATATAATACACGACACTGGCCTAATCCAAGGAAAATTCTATACCAAATGAAATCTGAGAAGCCCATGAAGAAAAAAAAAATCCAACTTATTGAAAAGTTAGCAGATATTAAATCATATAACACACTGAGACAATATGTAGTTTGTTCGGTTTTGGTTTAGCATAGTACATGAATTCATTGGGTTGTAAACCTTGTGAAACTTAGATGTATGATTCTAGGTTCTATAACTCTCAGGTTTTAAAAAAGCATACAGTCCTCAATGTAATACTATAATTGAGACTTAACCTATGTTGTTAAGCAAGGTAGTCATTAAGTGAGTCACACTGGATTTTACAACCATTTTGCCATGGTTGCTAAGTGAATCATGTTGCTAAGTGAATCCCTCATTGACTTTGCTCATTGGAAGCTGGCTGGGGAAGGTTACAAATGGAGTTCTAGGACAACTCAATGCGGCCAACTTGCTGTGGGCCAACTCACCATGGAACAATTTGCTACAGGACAAGAGTTACACTAATATTGAAGAATTAATGGAATAGAATCATTAA